AGGAATCTTAATCAGGAGGATCTTTCCAAAACAGACCCAAAACAGACCCCATCATCTCTGCTTAAACCCTTCAGTGGTTCCCGTTCATTCTCAGGATAATAGGATAACAGATCCAAATCTCTGGAGCTGATCCCATGGTTCCCCAGCGGGACACTGTCTGATCTCATCCCTGGGCTCAGCTACACTCCTAAATCTATGATGCTCCCTCCCCACAAACCATACTAGCCCTGGCTTCTGGGTGCCACCTGTCTCCTCACCTAAGCGAGGGTGAGGATGTTGTCTGCTATTTTTCCTCAGCCTGTAGGGCACCTGAGCACGATGGGTAACTAGTAAGTTACTCAGTGGTAAATAACTAGCAGAGAAACCAAGCTTCTGCCTGTGCAGTCAGACTGCTCAGCTAGGAGGCCACAACACTGAACTTTTGTATTAGCTTAGTAACTACCTTGTACAGCCACACTGTATGTCAGGCCCTGCCCACTGTCCTTCAACTCACTCCTCCTAAACCAGTTTGCCTGTTTTCAGCAGAAATTATTTTAGCCTCTGCATCTCCAGCATTGGTACTTTTTCTGATTCGTGCATATTTCTGCTATAAAGTTTACTGACTTGTTTTACTCGGTGACTGGATTACAATGTTATGGGTTGGACAAGGTAGAGTCATTGAAAACTGAAGGCATAAAAGTTATGGTTTTGGGGGCTGGGATTTAGCTCAATGGTAGAACATGTGCTTAGCATGCTTGAGGCCCTGGGGTTATAGATCTGATTCTTTCAGTCCAGATAGCTTTCCCAAGTTAGGGGCTTTAGTTCCAGGACTCTATTCTTTTAGCTGCTACTGAAAAGATGGGAGAATTTAGTTCAAGGCAAAGCCTTGAGATTTCCCCCAGCTTACCCACCCCTCCCCGTTTCAAGGCTACCCTTGATGTTTCAGTCCAATCTGATTTCATTTAGATAAGCTCTGTGGAAGACCAGCAGGAAGAGAAGTGGTCCTCTCACAGACCCCTAGGGCAGGCATTCATTATGCAAGAATTTATTGGGTAGGCACCTTTATTAAGCCAGGTGCCAGGTGCTGGGGATACAACAGTAAACTGGACATATGGGTGTTTGGAATAATGCTCATGCTGGTTTTGTTTTTCTTGCACTAGGATTAAACCCAGAGTGCTCAACCACTGAGCTATACCCCCAGCCTTTTTTCATTTTTTATTTTTGAGACAGGATCTTGCTAAGTTGTGGCTTCAGCTTCCTAAATCTCCTGAGTTATAGGTATACACCATCACGCCAGGTTCATGTTGGGTCTTAAAGAATGAATAAAAAGGGCTGGAGTTGTAGCTCAGGGGTAGAATGCTCACCTGGCATGTGTGAGTCACTGGGTTCGCTCCTCAGCACCACATAAAAATAAACAAGTACAATAAAAGTATTGTGTCCACCTATGACCCCCCCAAAAAAAAATTTAAAAAAAAGAGTGAATAACAAGGGCTGGGGTTATAGCTTAGTGGTGGAACGCTTGCCTCACACGTATGAGGCACTGGGTTTGATCCTCAGTACCACATAAAAATAAATAAATAAAATAAAGGCATTGTGTTCATCTACAACTAAAAATATTTTTTTAAAATGGATAACAAACTCGGCATCCGTGATGATCGCCTTTAATCCCAGCAACTCAAGAGGCTGAGGCAGAAGGATTCAAAGTTCAAAACCAGCCTCAGCAATTTAGTGAGAGACCCTGTCTCAAAATAAAAAATTAAAATGCTGGGATATAGCTCTCAATGGTAAAGTGTTTGCTTAGCATGTACCAAGGTTCCGGATTCAATTCCCAGTACTGCAAAAAATAAAATGAAATAGATTGGGGTGGTTGAAATGATCTGTTTTTTTTTTTTATATCGTTCTCTCCTTAACTTCTAAGCTCTGTTGACCCTATAACTGTTACTTGTCTTTGAATCCCTGGCACATAGTGGCCACTCAGCAAATGCCAGTTGTTCTTAATTGGGCAGAGGATTGGTGGCGGTTGGGACAGATCACTCAAGTGGGCTGAATCTGCATGTGTGTGGGAGGGCAGGGTGTATGAGGCAAGAGACTGTCCAAGTAGGTGCTTCTACTGGCATCTGGATGGGATGGGGTAGGGGCACAGGGAGCACAGCAGATTTTCTGAGGTTCAGTGAAATGAACTGGGTGGCTGTTCCTGGTGAGAGTGGGCTTCCTGTTGGGCCTTGGGGGAAGCTTAAGATGACTGAGCCCACCAGAGTAACCACTGGGGTTCTAGCCTTGGGGAAGAAGGGAATGTGGAAGTTTTCTTGAGAATGCAGAGCATGGGATAGGGAAGGGGAAAGCTGTGAGGGAAATGCTATTGGGATTTATATAATGGTAACTCTCAGGGCAACTATAGATGTCCCAGGCAGGGCTAAGAACCTGTGTTCTTTTTTTGGGGGGGGTGGGCAGGGGCGGGTACCAGGGATTGAACTCAGGAGCATGCAACCACTGAATCACACCCCCAGCCTAATTTTTGTATTTTATTTAGAGACAGGGACTCACTGAGTTTCTTAGCGCCTCACTGTTGCTGAGGCTGGCTTTGAACTCCTGGTCCTTCTGTCTCAGCCTCCTGAGCCTCTGGGATCATAGGTGTGTGCCATCGTGCCTGGCCAAGCTCCATACTCTTGAGGCATGTCCAAGACTCTTGCTGCACACCCATGGACTCTCCCCAGACTTGGGAGTCCAGAACAGGAGGATCCAGAGCCCTTGGAGGCATGGGTGACCAGATGGGGGAAAGCAGAAAAACCTGAAGATCTCTAATAATCTTCAGGTCAGTGAATAGGCCAAAGGGATGACGGGCAGAGTTCTAGCTAGCATCTGCACATCTTGGTCATAGCAGAAGACCAAGGAGGGCCTCACTCACTTTCCAGTGAAGACTTTACTGTCTTTCTCTGGAACCAGGCAGCCCTCCTTGAGGAGCTGGAGACCAAAGACCAGCCTGCTTACCATTCTTGTCCAGCTTAAAAGGGCCACAGGATGTATTCTGCCCCGGGACATTTGGGAGGTGAAGGATGCTAAGAGAAGCTGGGTCTGATTGTCTATGTGATTCTTGAACTATGACAGATTAAGGTCTTGGAAATAGTCTTAGAATTGGGGAGCAGATCCCAGCTTTCCCAAACAGATGCAGCCATATAAAATTGACATATGTCCAGTCTTAACTAGCAACCTTGCAACAGTCCCGACTCCTACCCTTCTACTCTGGGCCAGGGATGGGAGGAGTCTGGAAAGAAAAGAGGGGCTGGGCAGGCTACAGGCTGATTCTGAAAGACATCAAGTCTCCCTCACTACCCTCTTCTTGGTTTAGAGTCCTCCTTCCCCTTCTTTTAAATCTTAATTCACCTTATAGAATATTTCATTAAATAATTTTAATTCAACAACTGAAGGAACCTACTGTATACCCAATCCTGCCTAACATGGCAGCATCAGCCCAGGATCCAAATTGAATTATGAGACTTTGCTATCCCATTTTTGGAAACAAAATAAGCACTTGGGGCCAGGGGAGGTAGCCAGGTTATCCTGAAAACCCAGAGCTTTGCAGAGATTGCCTCTTAGGAGCCCAGGCAGATGCACTAGGTGACTCTCCAGGCAGGTCAGGCAGGTGTCCCCCTGTCCTGGGCTTATCTCCCACTGGCAGCTGAGCGTCATGCTCCTTGCCTCTGCTCCTGCAGTGTGTCTGACAGCTTCTCTCAGTATATGCAGTGGTAAATGCATGTCCATGTGTGTGCTCACCCATGGCTGCTCCTGGACAGGCACAAGTATGCTTGGATGGATCTGCAGTTGTGTCCATCACTGTTGGCACCGGTGTAGACTTCATCTTGTCTTTTTTCTTCCAATCCTCCCTCTACTGCTGGCAAAGGGCAGACCTCCATACTTCCTCCACTGATACATAGTCCACTTTCCAGGAGGGAGCTAACTATGGCCTGTGCTAAGACATCCCTTAGCCTAGAATAGATTTCTTCTTTTCAAGAAAATTCCCATATGTCCATCCCGTCCTTACTCTCCCCCATGTCTTCCAGGGCAAAGCTGAAGTGTCAGGCAGACTGGCAGAATATGTGGAAACATAACTGTCCCTCTCTGGGGTTGGTCTGAACTAACTATTCACTGTCCCCCAGCCCTTAGCCCAGTGTCTGGCTCTTAGTTACTTGTTTATAAAGGTTTATTGAAGGTGTGGCAAGGCTTGACCAGGGAAGCAGTGATGCACACTCATAAACTCAAGGGGTCGACCTTGGGGACCTTTGCCCTGAGTCATTTCTGGTGGCATCATTCTAAAAAATAGACACATCACTACTCTGGGAAACAGTTTTGAATTTCCTCCTTAAGTTGGTCAGGTACATACCCTACAACAGAGAAATCCCGATCCTTGGAATGTATCTAGAGAAATTTTTGTACACATGTACCAGAGGGTACCTGTAGGAGCATTCAAGGGTAGCCCCAAACTGGAAACCAATCAAATGTTCATCAGTAGTAGAATAAAAATTAAATTGTAGTATTTCCATATAACGGAGAACTATACAAGTAAAAATTAAACAAATTATAGTTATGCTCGTTAACTGGAATGCATTTCTTAAAAACTATACAATGATGAACCAAAGAAGCTAGACACATATAGCAAGCAAGAATATATATATAGTATGAGCCCAACTGTAGAATATTTAAAAACAGGCAACTTAAACAATATTGTTTAGGGACACATATAAAGGTAGGAAGCCATAAAGAAAAGTAAGGGGATATGCCAGGTACAGCGGCACACCTATTGTCCCAGCTACTTGGGAGGCTGAGGCAGAGGAATCACTTGAGTCCAGGAGTTCAAGACCAGCCTGAGCAACATATTGAGACCCTGTCTCAAACAAACAACAACAAAAAATTGGGAGCTGGGAGTGTAACTCAGTGGTAGAGTGCTTGCCTAGCATGTATAAGGCCTTGGGTTCTATCCCCAGTGCCAAAAAAAAAAAAAAAGGGAGGGCACATGATACATGGACTTCAAAGATACTTGGAATATTTTTTCTTTATTGGCCTGGGTACTGGTACTTTATATTTTACCCTGCCTATATGCATGTTACATACTCTTCCATATACTATACATTTTACACAATAGCCCTACTCTGCCCCCCTTTTCCATTCAGCCCCCATTCTGTCCCCAGCTGGCAGAGGAGGAGTCAGAGTACCTTATAACAGCTCCTTTCTTCAGTTTCTGAGTGGGTCAGAGGATATGGGGGGTGAGGGCCTCTCTTCTGCAGCTGGGCCCTAACTACTCCAGGCAGGGTGGGAAGGCCTGAGGAGAGCACCGCCAGGCAAAGCCGGCTGGCCCTGCTGTTTGTGCCAACTCTGGGATTAGGCCAGGGCTCTGGCCCACCTGTTGTTTCACTCATTCAGCATGAACATAGCAACTGAGTACTCACTGAAAGCACTGGGTGCTGTTGAAGGATTCGGAGAAGTGGGAGATGGTCTTTGACCTCAAAAATCCTAAATAACACTAGAGGTGACCACACACCCAAGTACCTATGGTACCAGCAAAATGTGAGCTAATTGTTACATGACTACCTATCTACTCTTTCAATAAACATTTGAGCATCTATTATATGCCAAGAACTGTACTGGATGGTGAAATCAGACCCGTTCCCCAAGTTCATAGCCTAATGCAGGGGAAACAGACACACATAAAATAAGTACAACTGCATGGCAAGCTCAATGATGCAGATATGCTGAGGGGGGATGGGTGAGGTGGGGACAGGATTGGGGAAAGGCTGGGGAACAGAGGTCTTCCTGGAGGAGGCAGGCCCTGGATTGAGGCTTTAGGGACAAGGAAGCAAGAGCATAGGAAAGAGCAGAAAGGATTTCTTGGCTGAAGGATCAGTTAGGGCACAAGCTAAGAAAATACAGCAAGGAGAACTTTCAACAAGAACACAGGCACTCAGTAGGGAGGGAGGGAAGTTAACAGGAGGGGGAGGTCAGAGCCATATTTGCCTTGCAAAACCTTAGGTTTTTTTTTTTTTGAGACTGGGTCTTGCTGTATTGCCCAAGCTGTCCTTGAACTCTTGGTCTCAAGCAATTCTCCGTGCTCAGTTTCTTGAGTACCTAGGATTACAGGCACGTGTCACTATGCCCAGCTTAAAATCTTAGCTCTTAAAGGTGCTGGGAGCTGCTGAAGGATATATGGGTGAGCTTGATAGACCCCACTGGATCAGTATAGAACTAGATTGAGGGTGTAGACTAGAAGTAGGCAGGAAAGTTGGCAGATTGTTGTGGATCCAAGCAATATTTAAGAGATATCAGGCTAGCTTCTGTCAGGGGAGGAGAGAGGTGAATGCAGGAGAGGCCAAATTTCAGAATGGCTTCTTGATAGAATAACCAGGTGGAGCATGGAAGGTGAAAGGCCTCACCCTGCACTAGTGTGGCTCTGGGGTCTCGGCAGGAGCAGGGGCCAGCCAAGAATATGGACAGGGCTCTGTACCACCTGATCCCAGGGCTTCCAAATGCTTGCCAAATCAACAGGGCTGGTCCCCGGAAGTGGGGGTGGTGGTGGTGGAAGAGCATATAGTGAGATTGTCAGAAATCAAATGTGAGAACTTTAAAGAACTATCCTTACAAGTATATCCAATTAAATCAATCAATAAGCCTATCACTTAGAGGTATGAATTACCAAAAGAAACCCCCTAAAGACTCAAAGTGATTTTGTCCTAGGAATGGCAATGGGGGTGGCAGGGAGAGAAAGGAGACAATCTTTAAAAAAAAAAAAATCCTTTTCATACTACAATATTTTGAAACCATACACAGAAAGCACATACGAAAATTTAATACAACCCTGGCCTTTGTTCTGAGTTTATGTTTTTTCTTTTTGTTACATGTGGCCCTTCTTGTATAAAATGGTGCTAGATGACAGCCACTTATCTCCTCTTTAATGTCCTCGTTTAATAAAATAAAATATCGTTGATCCCTGAGTCGTGTAATTTCTGACTGGAATCCGTGCATCCAAGGCACTCCAGTGAAGGGCGGAGTGCCGCGGGCCCTGCGCGACTGCGACTCCGCGTGCAGCCGGCAGGGGTCAGGCGAGCTCTACGCTGCATCCGAGCTGGTCCGACGAGCCAGTGCAGCGCTCGGTGGCGCCAGGTGCCTCGGCGGAGGGACACACAGGGAAGACCCTGGACCTGACCTAGGTTGCGAGTCCAACAACTGCTACTGGAATCCTGTATTTCAGCTTCCACCAGGCAAGCCCTGGGTCGGCGCCCCTGCACAGCAAGGACACCACCGTTTTACACCAGCTCTGGCTCCACCCCGCGTCTCTAGCGTCTGGGCGTGGCCGGCTCCCCAGCGACCCCCAGGCGACTCACCTTGCTGGCCATTTGCTAGGGTGGCTGTGCAACCTTGTCTTCCGCACCCATGGAAACCGATATATGAAATGAAATTGAGAGTTACATACGTAAGGGTAATTATCCTTGGATTATGGGGCTAAGGATTAGGGCTCAGTTCTCTAGGGAAGTCCCCCCCCCCAATCCTGATGGGTTCCTATAAAAGTTTGCTACTTCCCAGAGATGTGACTAGGTCTGGGGAGAGATGCAGGGGGGCTGTTAGTTTACAGGTTGCCAAATTCTGATATGGGTGTGCCCAGATCACATTTAAACATTCTGTTACCTTCTGTTAACCTCCCACAGGACAGGCAATGTGGAGGAGGTGCTGCCCTGATAGTGTGGTGGCCTAAAACTGGAATCCACTTGGAGGCAGCCTCGGGAAGGAAAGGTGCCTGTTAACCGATGAGGTAGAGCTGTGCAGTGTGTGGAGAGAACCTGAAAGTCCCACCAGAACCAAAGTGCCCGCTGATCTATTTTTGTGTCAGGCTATGCTGTTTGTTTTGTTTTTTATTTTTAAACATTCCTCTTGTTTCGCAAAAAGGATCAGGAGAACAATTGCATTCTTTCTGTCTTGGTTTTCTGATGCTATAACTGTATGCCACTGATGGGGTAATTTATAGAGCTTTATCTAGCTCACTGTTCTGGAGGCCAGAAGTCCAAGAGCATGGCACTGACATCTGGTGAGGGCCTTCTTGCTGCATTGAAACATGGTGGAGGTTCTCACATGAGACATCAAGTATGCTAGTATGGGGCTCCCTCTTATAAAGCCACTAATGCCAATGAGGGTCCCACCTCTAGATACAATTGACATGTGACTTTGGGATTAAGGTTCTAATTTGGGGGACTCACCCAACTTGGCAGGGCTCTACCCAACACTGACTGGAATACACATGACATTCTGCCATTTTGAATGTCTTCAGGCTGGTTATTATAGCTACCTGTTTTTAGATGACCATTAACCATTTTAGCTGAATTCATCAATACAGGACACAGAAGTTAAGGGACAGCCACAAGCCCTGGATTTTCCCCTCAAGTTAAGATTAGACTGGGGTTGCTAAACCCACTCTCAAGCCCCAGGCTGGAAGCAGCACTTTTCTGGAGGTTAGAACCAAATACCAGGGACAGGTGCTGCCAGGCTGGGGGCCAAGAAAATCAGTTCCTCTTTTGGGAACTTAGAGGGGGTAGAATAACATAGACCTATTCCTCTCAGACCAGGTTCCATCTAGGATGCTGTGTAGAAGGGCCCCAGGCTGGAATTCTCAGAACACTCCCATTGTTGCTGCTAGCAATCTGGATCTTAGCTCTAGTTCTGACCTTGAAAAAGTTAAATTATCTTGATCTTAAAAACAAAACAAACAAACAAACCCCAAAACAAAATACCTCAAGGATGGTTTTCAGAAATTTATAAGATACAGTTCCAGGATCCTACTACTCTGGGGTCCCTCCTTTCTTTAAAAAAAAAAAAAAAAGTCACTGAAGTGTTGGGATAGTAGCTTAGTGGTAGAGCACTTGCCTTGCATGGGTTCAATCCCTAGCATCACAAACAAAACAAACACACACATGCACACACACAAAACCAAATCACTGGGAGCAGGTTGGAGGGAAGGAATAGGACTTGGGCCATCCATTCTCCAAGGACATGTGCTGTATCCAGAAAAAAGTCAGGAGCAGTAATTGTTTTTCCTCCAAAACACCATTTAGGAGCGGATGGGTTTGTTTCACAATATGTTTAATACAAAATGGCAGCAGCCACTGTGCAGTTGTAACAAAATTATCCATAGGGTGTCTCAAGAAATGTATACAGGCAACCCCTCCTGGAGTTGAGCCAGACAACCCAGGCCTGCTTGGGCAGGCAAGGCCTTCACCTGCTGCCCAGTAGATGAGGAAGTTTACTTTACCAGATCTCACTGGTCTCTGTGACAGAGCAGCACAGAACAGCTCAGAGGTGCTGCCAAAGGGGCCAGCATGAGCTAATTCTCCACAATTCTCTTTTGTTCCCCAGGCAGACTCTGTAGCACAGGTGTTCCCAAATGGTTGGGAGCTGATGACTCAAGAAGCCAGCAAACAAGGATGGATTTTTGGCTTTTCTTTTTCCCCAGAAAAGAGACCAACAAGTTTGAGTAAATGAAGGGGGCAATGATTCTGCTGTACTTGAAAAGAGAGGGCTCCCTGCCACAGGCTCACCTAAAAGAAGGGGTGGGTACCTACATACCTCCAGGCTACCTTAGGAGGTGGGAGCATCAGGCTTTGAAGTTGAAGAGCAGAGAGCAAGGGCACAGAGTCACCAAAGCCCTCCTAAAGCTCTCAGAAAAGATAATATGCTTCCTGCTGAGTCCATTTTAGGCTTTCCCTGGCTGGTTGGCCCACAGTGCTTGGCAACCAGTGTAGAAGACTCCCCGTCCAGCAGAGGCTTGAGAGCTGTAGCCAGAAGGGAAGCGGAGCAGCAGGGCCTGCTTCGGGCAGCCAGGAGGCTACCATGTCTGTGCTTCCAAAGAAAGGCCTCTAGGTGCTGGGAGAAAGGGGTGGTGGATCTTGGGGCTAGTGGAAATCTGCGTTGAAGGCTCTGCCAATGACCAACCGTCTCACCTCACTGGTCCCAGCCCCGATCTCATACAGCTTAGCATCTCGAAGAAAGCGGCCCATGGGAAAGTCATTTATATAGCCATTGCCACCTGCAACAGGGTTTGAGAAGAGAAGAAAGGACAACAGAAGCAATGGGCAGTGTAGCAAAGCAAGGAAAACAAACAGAAGGCCAAGTGCAATCATCCCTCAGTATCTGTGGGGATTGGTTTCTGGACTTCTTATGGCTACCAAAATTATTGATGCTCAAATCCTTTATACAAAATGACAAAGTATTTTCATATAACCTAAGCATATTCTCCCATATATTTTAAATCATTTCTATGTTACTTACACTATCTAATGCAATATAAATGCCATTTAGATGGTTGTTACACTGTATTATTTATGGAATAACAGCAAGAAGTCTATGCTTAATATAGAAGCAATATTTTTTTCTGAATATTTTCTATCTGAATTTGGTTGGAATCCATGAATATTGAGTGCAGACTGTATAGAGAAATAAGCTATGGGAGGGTCTGATTAAAGAGAAGCAGCAAAAGGTAGTGAGAGGGGAGGGCTTGGAGAGTACCTTGGTGGTAGCAGGGTGGGCAAAGGGATAGAGCTGGAAGGCCACTCAGAGTGCTGATGGCACCAGGCAAAGAAAGTGGAGAATCACTGGCAGACATGGCAAAATGGAGACAAGAGTAGGATGTGGTGGCCCATGCCTGTAATCCCAGGGGCTCAGGAGGCTGAGGCAGGAGGATCTAGAGTTCAAAGCCAGCCTCAGCAACTTAGTGAGGGCCTAAACAACTCAGCAAGACCCTGTCTCTAAATAAAATATAAAAAGGGATTGAGATGTGGCTCAATGGTTAAGAGGCTCTGGGTCCAACCCCTAGTATCCCCCCACCCCCCAAAAAAGAATGGGAGTGGGCAAGAAGAGACTGGCACGGCTGAACTGGGATTCAAACCTAAGCATGAGGCTCAAGTCTATGCCCTCAATCTGGGGGTAATACTGAAATGCATCTCTCTTCCCATTTTCTAGTATCCACGAGAGCAGGGGGGTGGTTGAGAGGGGGCACTGTTGAAGGCAGTAGCAATTAGTGGTCTCTAGCACTTTCTCATCTACTTTTCCACTTCCTCCTAAAGGGGGCAGAGCCAGGAGGTGGTAGCTCAATTGTGGCTAGCTTAAGCACAAAGTGGGAAGTGGAGAGGAAACCTTTCCAGTTGGCACCAGGCTCTAGGAAGGAGGGGGTGGTGGGGGCCACTCACCGAAACACTGAATGCCATCCAGGGCTACCTGTGTGGCGCACTCAGCTGCGTAAAGAATCACACCGGCACAGTCCTGTGGGAGGAGGTTCTGTCAGCAGGGCCCTGCTAGGCATGCAGGAGCCAGTCCTAGCAGATGACCCATTGCTTACTCCCTGCTCAGGAGCTGTCCCTCACCTTAGCAGTGCAATGGCCCTCATCACAGGCCTTGGCAACGTTGTAGACATACTGCCGACATGCCATGAGGCGGGTGTACATGTCTGCCATCTTCCCCTGCATCAACTGAGCACAAAGAGAGGTCATTGTCAACATGCTGGGACACTCTTTCTAGTCATCAAAAGCAGATCAGCCTCAATGGCAACCTGACAGCAGGAATGAGGAAGCAAAGGCACAGAGAAGAGATGGGAGTTCTCTAGAATGACAGAGATGGAAGTAGATCTGGGGGGTAAGAGAGCTGCTCTTGGACATTGTACCCTGAAATGGCCCTTGCTATGTCTGAAAGGCAGTGTTCCCCAGATACTGCCAGCCACAACCTTCATCAACCTCCCACAGCTTCTTTAAACCAGAAAGGCGGACTAGAAATGCCCTTCCTTTTCCCAAGCTTCCCACCACCTGCAAGCTTCACCCTCCAGTTGCATGAAGTCTCGAGTTCATTCATCTCCAAAAGAAATGGATGGGAGAATGTGCTAAATTTACTAAAAATTTCTGAAGCCAGGCTGCATGCTAAAGCAGCCCGCATTCCAAGCATTCAAGCTCATTTTGCTAGATGATAGTCAACATCCCACAGTGCATGGTCTGCTTCCTCATTCATCACAGAAAACATGAACCCAATAAAAGTACATTTCAGCAAAATATTCCACTCACCTGGAAGTGGCCAATTTTCTGGCCAAAGGCTTCCCTCACGTGCAGGTAGGGAATGGTGTGATCAAGGACTGCCTGCATGAGCCTGCCAGAAAGGAGAAAGACAGAGGTGTCTCATAGTCCCACCCCTGCCAAGAGGAGCGGTAGAATGACAGAGGGAAAGACCTTGAGGAAAGCTTGGCAAGATAAGGATCTGGAACCCCAGATAGGAGGGAAAAGAGCTTGAGAAGCTCTTGTCATCCAGAGGCAGTTACAGCACCAACTGTATAGCCCTTGTGTCCCTCCTCTAAAGCCAGAGGTGGGAGTGGCTGCACCTTTGCAGTAGACAGGCACCAGAGCCAGGGCCTCTCATTTCATATCCATACCACCCAAGCATTTCTGAGTTGCTCCTCAGGCCTCCATCTATCCACCTAATGACATTTTCCTTCTGTGTGAAAAAACTGAATGCAGGAGGAGTAAGTTCTTATTGTCTCTAAGAGAGATTGCAGGGGCCAGGAATCAGCTCCCTTTGGCCCTCCTGCGGGAAGGCTGCTGCTGCTTAGGATAGTTCCATCTGCCACCCAGAGGCTAAAAGAGCGCAGGTCCCCAGGAGCCTCATACTTACCCAAGGGGCCCGCCAGCTAGCACCAGGCGCTCCAGGTCCAGCCCACTCATCAGGACGTAGACACCCTTGCTCTCATGACCCAGGATGTTGGCAGCTGCCAGGATAAATGCTGGTCAGAGGGAGAGGGCTGTCTACAGCCTCTTAACTTTTCATAAAGGGTACGAGGTTGATAACATGCTCTCACACAAGGCACTAAAATATGTTCCTTGAGGTTCAACTAAGGTTCCAGGTGAGAGAAAAGGACTGGATTTACCATTTCCAGTCAGAAGTTGAGCTTCTAGGACCCCCACACCATCCACTGGACACAAAGCCTTGAGTTATTGGCTGTTTCCCTTCTCTCTCTGGACCCACTTGGATGGGAAAGAAGAAGTTAATTGGTCTATCTACAAGTCACCTACCTCTGCCTGGTTCTTCCCACACCTGTACCTATATAGGAACCAGAGAATTTCTCTCTCCCAGCTTGTCTGCTCTAGTCTAGTGTCACCTCCTTGCATTGGGTCCATGAAAGCTGCTTTGTCCAGGAGATGGGCCATTCAGTGCTAGTGAGAGAAGCTGCTAAGCCTTGTCCTTCAGGTAAGCTAGGGTTATGGATAGCCTTGGGATGAGCAGGCAGGAAACTGAATATAGAAATTTGACACCAATGATCTGCCTTTAATGCTGACTGAATTTTTTTTTTTTTTCAAGCAGGGATTGAACCCAGGGGTGCTTTACCACTGAGTCACATCCTCAGCCCTTTTTATTTTTTAGTTTGAATCAGGGTCTTGGTAAGTTGCTTAGGGCCTCACTAAGCTGCTAAGGCTGGTCTCAAACTTGTGATCCTCCTGCTTCAGTTCCCTAGTTGCTAGATTATAGACAAGTGCCACCGTGCCTGGCTGATTTTTTTTCTTCTGCACAAAGAAGGATCAGCATAAATCCCCCTCCCTAGATGCTCCTTCTAACCACATCATACTTTTCTGGGATAGCAGATTTGGGGGGAGAGGGATGGTTTGTGGCTGAGGCACAGAGACAGCCTAATTGTTGAGCAGATCTATGCCTTTGGTCCTATCAGCACATGATAGAGGTGCTGGTTCTCCCTGAGTGATGCATGGTGTCACATTTTCAGCTGCAGCTCAGGGGAGAAAATACTTCTACTGAAACCAAATCACTTCCTCTTCATTGAATCTGGCTTCCAACAGTTTATTTAGTTGGCTTTTTTTTTTGGTGGGGGTGGGTACCAGGGATTGAACTCAGGGGCACTCAACCACTGAGCCACATCCTCAGCCCAATTTTGTATTTTATTAGAGACAGGGTCTCACTAAGTTGCTTAGCACCTTGCCGTTGCTGAGGCCGACTTTGAACTTGTGATCCTCCTGTCTCAACCTTTTAAGTTGCTGGGATTACAGGAGTGCGCCACCATGCCCAGCAATTCTTTATTAGCATTTTTAATAAGTAACTCACACAGGTTATCCAGGCAAATGTACAGGATATCTGAAGGACAACAGCAAGCTAGGGGATGTCTTATCTTTCTCTTTCAGCTACTGGAAACAAAGCCCAGGCAGAATTATCCACAGAGGAAGCACCACCCTTCACCTCAGCCAGTCAGGCATACAGATGCAGGGGATGTGGCCAGGAGGGACAGCTGTCCAGCAGCCCCAGGCCCACAGTCTAACTGCATGTCATCAAGGAGCTAATAATGGTGAGTCTCTCTAGCCAAGGGATGGGCTTTCTCAGCTTGGGAACAGCCAGATCAACTTGTGGGGGGGTCAGGACAGGAGACTCTTACCAGGAACCTTACAGTCTTCAAAGATGAGCTCACAGGTGTTAGAGCCCCTCATGCCCAGCTTGTCCAACTTCTTGGAGGTGCTAAAGCCAGGCATACCCTTTACAGGAAACAAGAGAAGGCTCTGGTTAAAATTGGCACAAGGGGGCTGGTAAAGGGAAGACCCACCTTAACATCAGGTCCCTGTACCTGCCTGGCATTCCAGCACCCCACTCATGTTCGACTGTTACACCCTGACACCCTACCCTGTTCCCAGTCTCTACTGTTGCCAGCTATGTTCTCATGAGAGCAGTTCTTTCCTGGTGAAATGTTCAGTCCTGAACCCTCCGGACTCTCTCTGGCTGTGCGTCCCTTCCCCCAGGGGACATCATTCTCAAGGTACTCTCAACAGCCCACTCAATTCCTTTGTTCTTCTGCTATTTGTCCCTAAGAGAGTTCCACCTGGGATGAATGCACCCAGCTGTGTGCTTTGACCTCGACTACTCAGTTGCGTATGTACTGGCAAGTGCCCAGTATTGGTAAAGTCCTAGTCCACTCTCCTCCTGGCTCATGAGAGGGTATTTTACAACCTGGAGGTTTCCAATCTTTGTCAGGCCCTATTCGCTCGAATTCTAATAGCTACTTTCCCTATGAGGGCTACTGTAAACCTTTGCAAGTCTCATTTGTTAAATTTTCTACCATCTCCCCCACAGCTGTGATCTCCAGCCCTTACAGGTGCCCCACATGCACCTGGCTTCCTACAGTTATCAGGCAGATGGTTCATCCATCATCACCTGTAACCCATCCTTCCTTCTACCCAACAAGCCATTGTGTTTTGCTCACTTACCCTACACTTCAATTTCTGCCTCTCCAATTGTCCTTTCTCCTTACTAAAAATTTTGGTCAATCTCCCCACTTTGAGCTACATACCAGTCATCCCTTGTTGTTCGTTTTTTTTTAGTTGTTGATGGATCTTTATTTTATTTAGCTATTTTGTATGCTGAGAATTGAACCCAGGGCCTCACACATGCTAGGCAAGCCCTCTACCACTGAGCGACAACCCAGCCCCCGCCCCTCATTTTTAAAACCAAAGCCAAACTCCGAAGTTTTAATTCATGCTCCTGATCTAACTCCCTTTTGCTTCTGTGTCAAGACTGTGGAGGTGAAATCTTCTCCACTTGTATTCCCAGCTATACCTCAGCCTCCCCTACTGTTCTTGCCCAGCTCACCAAGGACATCCTAACTGTCAGATCTAGTGGCCTCCTTTCAGTCTTCCTCTTCCTGAACCTCTTTGTATGGTCAGGCTCTGTGCATGGCTTCACTGTCTTCAGACTTGACCCATCCTCCCTGGACTCGACTCTTTGGCCACCCTCCTGTCAGTCTCCTTCAGTTTCCTCTCTATCTCCCCCAACCCCTGGAAGCAGAGCATACATGATCAGCTGAAGGAAGCAGCCTCTGGCCACTGTCAAGAGACTAAAGCCTCCCCAACTACACACTCACTACCCTCACCTTCTCCACAATGAAGGCCGTGATGCCCCGAGAAGCTGGCACAGCAGTTAGATCTGTCTTGGCGTAGACAATGAGAACATCAGCATCGGGGCCATTGGTGATCCAGAACTTGTTGCCATTCAGGATGTAGTAATCTCCTAAGGGCAGGATATTACGTTCTTGCTTAGGCTGGCTTGGCCTTTCTTATCTTGTCAGTCCACAGAACTAATGAGCAGTTGAGAAATAATTCTGGAGCCACTCCCAGCTCTTGCTCCCTCATTCTGGTAAGGTTTGTCCCTCTGCGCATTTAAGCTCCATAATTGAGAATGATCTCACCTTTCTTTTCTGCCTTTAGCTTCATGGAGACAACATCAGAGCCAGCATTGGGCTCACTCATGGCCAGGGCTCCAATGTACTCACCGCTGATCAGCTGCAAGGAAAACCAATAGGCCTTTTTATGACTTCAGAAGCAACCTATAACAGCTCACTGATCTGCCTCTTCCTGTTCACATTATGCCCTTTCAAACTGCTTTTTTAGAGCAGGGTATTGGTAAAGTCCTAGAAGGGAAGCTCAATATCCATAAAACTGAAAGTGTTTCTTCTATTTCCCTTTCTTCCTTATTTCAGTCTTTTCTTTTTCTGCAGTGCTGGGGATGGAACCCAGGGCCTTGTGCATGTTCAGCAAGTACTTTACCACTGAGCAACATCCTTAGCCCTTTTTATTTTAATTTTGAGACAGGGTCTCACTATGCTGTCCAGGCTGGCCTCCAACTTGCCATCCTTCTGCTTCAGTCTCAGCTTCCCCAGTAGCTGGATTGCAAGTGTGCACTACAGAAGTTCTCTCTCTCTCTCTCTCTGAGATGGGGGTCTCACCATTTTTCCAAGGCTGATATCAAATGCCTGGGTTCAAATGAGCCTCCTGCCTCTACCTCCTGTGCAGCTGGTACCCCAGGCATATGCCACCATGATACTGGTTTTCTGTTTCTTAAAGTGTTCTTCAAATGCTGATATATATATGTACACACACACACACACACACAAAGAGATATATAGATATAGTTGTAGATGGATACAATACCTTTATTTAATTTATTTTTTTTAATGTGGTGCTGAGAATCGAACCCAGTGCCTTACATGTGCCAGGTGAGTGCTCTACCACTGAGCCACAACCCCAGCCCCTCAAATGCTGTCTTTTATCCAATCAGGAATTCTGGCCCTATTTTCATTTTTTTTCCCCCAGATACTAGCGTTTGAACACGGGGTCACTTAACCACTAAGGCACATCCCCAGTTCTTTTTTTGTATTTTATTTAGAGACAGGATCTCGCTGAGTTGCTAAGTGGCTCAATAAGTTGCCGAGGCTGGCTTTGAACTCCCAATTCTCCTACCTCAATCCCCCAGGTCGCTGGGATTATAGGTGTGCACCACTGTATCTAGCCCTATTTTCAATTTTTGACTCAAATGTTTTAAAACAACCATGGGATCCTTCCTAACTGTATTTGTGGCAGCAAAGTACAGAAACCAAGTCTGACTGGCCCCTACCAATGGAAAAGAGCCCCCTGTTGTGGGTGGTTGCAGAATGGCTTTCTTCATTCCCATTTCCTTACTTTGGGGAGGTATTTCTCCTTCTGGGTCTCATTCCCATTGCGCACAATCTGGTTGATGCACAGGTTGGAGTGGGCGCCATAGCTGAGACCCACTGCTCCAGAAGCTCGGGATATCTCCTCCATCACCAGCACATGTTCCAGGTAACCCAAGCCAGAGCCACCATACTGAACTGCAAGAGGGACAGTGCAGGAGAGGAGAAAGGCAGTCAGATAAAATTGAGATATTGACAGAATCTTAAATTAATTGGCAGAAAAGAGACACCCTTGTAGCATCTATTCTAAGTTCCCCTAACAGTGTTATCAGGTTGATATCAAGGACTAACAGAACTTGTTAATTTGCTCTTGCTGGATGGCTGAGCTGCAGTTCAGAAGTCAATCATTGCCAAATCTGTCTTTATTTCAGACACTTACGTGGAGACAAGCAAAAACCCCAAGCACCCACTAACTATTACAAAAGTTACAGAAAGACAGAGGCAGATGAAGAAAGAGAGCCAGTCTGATGAACACAAAAATGAGCACAGGACTGTGTCTAAAGCACCAAAACCAGATATAAATCCAAGTCTGTCTGTTTAACAGCCTTAAGAAAGTAATATTTAATGGTGTGGCTTTGGACCCAAAGAAGTAGGGCTGGTAACAGCCAGGACAGCCAGAGCCTGAGAGGAACTCTAGAGGTAAGCTGTACGGCAAAGGCAGAAGAGATACTAGCAGGACATTTCAGAACTCTCCATAAAAATGGTGTTTGTCTTTGATAGAAAATCCCAAATCAAAGAGGCAAGGTCATCTAGTACTATCCCCTATCCCACTGTTTAGGTAAAGCCTGGCAAAGCTCTGCGCACATGTTCACTATGACTAGGAAACCAGGGAAAGGCTCTAGGGAAAGCTTGGCCTGATCACAACTCCATGAAGGAAAGCAAAAAGGAAGGGGACGTTAGAAACAGCCACCAGGACTATCATGTAGGAACAGGATTCATATGGAGATTTTTAAATTTTGTGGGACTGGGCATTGAACCCCAGAGCCTTATGCAGGCTAGTAAGTGCTGTACCACTGACCTATAGCCCCAGCCCTAGCTTTTTCTTTTCTTTTCCTTTTTTTTTTTTTAAAATATTTTTAGTTGTATATGGACACAATATCTTTATTTTGTTTATTTAGTTTTTTTATGTGGTGCTGGGGATTGAACCCAGAGCCTCATGCATGCTAGGCAAGAGCTCTACCGCTGAGCCAACAACCCCAGCCCCCTGGCTTTCTTTTAAAAGTTTTCCCTTGAAGGTGGGCGTGGTAGTACATGCCTGAGTCAGATGCTGAGGTAGGAGGATAGCAAATTCAAAACCAGCCTTGGCAACTTAGTGAGACCCTGTCTTAAAATAAAAAATTGAAAAGGGCTGTGGATAAATCTCAGTGGTAGAGTGCCACTGGATTCACTGGGTTCAATCTCTGGTAATATAAATAAATAAATAAATACTTCCCCACAAAGGATTTTATCTGATTTCTTTCTTTTATGATTTTTAAAGAATACTTCTATTTTGTTCATTTATTTTTATGTGGTGCTGAGGATGGTTTGAACCCGGTGCCTCATACATGCTAAGCGAGTGCTCTACTAATGAGCCACAAACCCAGCCATTCTTTTTTTTCTTTCTTTCCTTCTTTCTTTCTTTTTTGGTAACGGGGATTGAACCCAGGGGTACTTCATCCCTGAGCTATTTCTCTAGACTTTTTTATGATCCTCCTGTCTCAGTCTCTAGGATTATAAGAGTCAGCCATCGTGCCTGTCCTTTCTTTCCTTTTAAATGTGGTCCTAGGGATCAAGCCCAGAGCCTCATAAATGTTAAACACACACTCTACCACTGAGCTACACCCCCAGCTCATGGTTTCTAATTGCCTCTTTTTTCCTTTAAGATACATTCTGATTCACATATTCTTGGAGTAGGTGAGTAGGGTTCATAAATTCCCAAAATATAATGGAAGAGTCTGGTTTAGAAGCCCCTAGCAACCTTCCCCCCAGTTATTTTACATTAAGATGATCTAAATCTTTAAATGGTTTCATTTTATCATTATTCATGTTATAACTTTATTTATTTGTTACCGGGAATTGAACCCAGGGGTACTTAACCACTGAGCCACAGTCCCAGCCTTTTTATATTCTATTTAGAGACAGGGTCTCTCACTAAGTCACTTAGGGCCTCACTAAGTTGCTGAAGCCAGTTTTGAACTTGCAACCCTCCTGCCTCAGACTCCTGAGCCGCTGGGTTCAGGTGTGCACCACCGTGCCCAGACCATGTTGTAAATATCTAACTTTCTATAATCAGCTCAAAATCAAGAAATTAACCTACTCTGAGTACTGAAGAGGAGACAAGGTGAAATATACAGTTGACCCTCAATATCAGGGCATTGGTTCAGGACCTGTCATAGATATCCAAATCCAAGGATGTTTAAGTATCTTATGTAAAATGTTGTCACATTGCCTAAAACTGAAGCACATCCTCCCATATCCTTTAAATCATCTCTAGATTACTTATTATATAAATTATTATATAAGTAAATATATTACTTATTATATAAATAGTTGCTATTCTTTATTGTGTAGGGACTAATGAGAAGAAAAAGTTGACTATATTGTGTTCCACCCTTACTCTCATATCCACAGTAAATATAGGCCTGAGTATGGTGGGCTCTCCAGGCTTGGTTGAGGTGGTCAAAGGCTCAGTTCTTTACAGAGCACAGCAAGCCAGGCTGGGCCTCTCCTTAGAAGCCAATACTTGAACCAGAGGCCACCAGCTCCCTGTCCTCTCCCCCTAAAAACAAGTAGTAAGACCCACAGTGGGCAATGGGCAGACCATAGAGAACCTATTAAACATATCCTCTGGCCACTTTACCTGAAGGCCCAAACAGACATCCCTCTCATCCCAATGATTTCCAGGGAAAAGACTCAGGCAGTCCTTCTAGGGATATACCTGCCCTGACTGTTCCTGTCTAGAAGCAGTTCTTTGAATAGAACTTAGAAATTATGATAGTAAAATAGATACACTAGGACAACTGTTTGACCCAGAGAATTTTTATTTGGGGGTACCAGGGATTTAACCTAGGGGCACTCAACCACTGAGCCACATCCTCACCCCTATTTTGTATTTTATTTAGAGACAGGGTCTCACTGAGTTGCCTGGCTTTTGCTGAGGCTGGCTTTGAACTTGTGATCCTCCTGCCTCAGCCTCCTTCTGGGATTACAGGTGTGCACCACCATACCCAGCTGACCCACAGAATTTTGAAAAAAAAAAATGTTGTCGGTGTCTTTGGGCACAATCTTCCCCTTCCTTTCTGCTTCCTTTGGGAATTGTGTAAGTACGCACACAAGGAAAGTTATCTTTAGGGAAAGAAGCTATACTTACCAGGGACTGTGATGCCCAATACTCCCAGGCTCCCCAGCTGTTTCCAAAACTCCTATCAACAGAAGGGAGTAGAGGAATTGTGAGAAGGCAGCCAGCTACCTGTGGCTGCAATAAGACCAAATGCTTCTTAGGGAGGCTTCTTTTTACCAAGAGATAATGTGAGCCCTTCCAGGCAGCAGTGCAACTCAGCCTAGCTCCCAACTGCCCCCTGTCCCAACCTTCTGACTCACTCGCAGGTTCTTGAACTCGTTGCTATGATCAATTTCCTGGGCCTTGGGAGCCAGATGCTCCTGAAGGAACTTAGCCATGGTCTGTCGAAGCTAGAGGGAGAAAAGCGGACAGATGCAGCTGAAACCAAAATATTATTGCATTGAAAGCAGCATCTCCAGTACTGAGAGCACATTCTGAGAGCCAAGCCAATAGTAACCTCACCAAATAGCATTAGATTGAAACTTAGAAGCCTCACTAGTTAATGTTTCCTCAGAGATGATCTTCAACTTTTTCTTAAGATCCTCAGTTTAGATAGCTTGAAGATGATTTTTAGCTTGTATTATCTTACTTTCTTTCACTTTATTTATGCTGTTATTTTTTGTGTATGTATGTGTGTGGTACTGGAGGTCAAACATTGGGCTTTGCACATGCTAGGCAAGCACTTTGTCACTGAGTTACACCCCCAGGGGTTAGCTGGGATTGCAGGCATGTACCACCATACCTGGGCTTTTTAATTTATTTCTGAGACTGGGTTTGCTATGTTGCCCACACTGGCCTTGAACTTCTGGGTTCAAGTGATCTACCTACCTCAGCTTCCCAAGTATTGCAGATGTATAACCACTGAGCCACATCCCCAGCCCTTTTTTATATTTTATTTTGAGACAGGAACTTGCTAAGTTGCTAAGGCTGCCTTTGAGCTTATGATCCTCCTGCCTCAACCTTCAGAGCCGCTGGGATTTACAATATGCACCACTGCACCAAGATTGAAGATAAAAAAAAAAAAAAAAAATGCTGCTCCCCTACATAAAATCGTTCCATGCCTTTGTATTACACTCAGAATAAAGCACAGGCTCCTTTCCTAGGCCTACAGGTCCTGCATAAACTGTACCAGCTGGCCTTCCAACCTTCCCCAATACTTTTCTATCCCCCACTCACTGTGCTCCAGCCATACCCACTTCAGTTCTTGGCTTGTGTCAGGCTTTTTACTGCCCCTGAGCCTTTGGCCAAAAGAGATTACTGAAAGGAATCAGAAATTCCTCTTGGTAGAAAGGTTTGACACCTAGGACTGAAGTCTTCAGAGAAGCCCTAAACCACCTAGGGCCCTTGGAGAATCACATTCCCTTGCACTCCATCTACCTCCAAGTGATCACAGCCTCCTTCCTGCAAGAAAGGCTCTGGTCTAGTCCCATTTGTAATCACATTTTTTTTTTTTTTTGAGTTCTTTCTTTGTGCTTTGGATCTAATAAGCTGAAAAATGATAGCAAACCTCACCGGCACTTCAAAATGCCTTGTTTATCCAAAGAGAATCCCTGGTGATTATGATGATCAACCAGGAACTACATGTAGATGCAGGACCCTTTTGCCACAAGCGGTAGTCCCAGTCAATCCACCAAAACACCACCATTCTCCCAGGAGCTTTCTTCCTTTGCATCCCTCTGGCTGCCCTGCTTTGGTGTCTCAAATCTTCTCTCCAGAGAGGTGAAGATGAGACTAAAGGACAGGGCCCAAAAGGAGAGGGCCAGTTTCCCGCCCTCGCTCCCAAGTGACGTTCTCATCGTCCAAAGAGCACAAGCCGCTGCTGAGCGGGTGCTAAACAGAAGGCCTTGCAGCCGGGAAGGGAGTCTGTCTCTCTACCTGCTTCTGCTCTTCGCTTAGCCCGTTGATCACATCGTCCACAGGCAACAGCGAATGGGCGCGCTGGGTAACGAGGCCGGCCAGGGGCGACAGCTGCGGCCGCAGCTTCCAGCTCCGCACACGCCGTCCCAGCAGCCGAGTCGCAGTCGCCATCTCTTCCAGAACCGAGATCCAGAACTGCAACTGAAGAATCTCTTCCGGCTCTACCAATCGGGCTTCACCGCCCCATCCAATCGGCGAGGGGGTGGGTCTCCAGCAGCCAATCACCCTCACCCGTCCGCTGAAGGCCGCGCTCTCCTTTGGTGGCCAATGAGCCCTGACATTCTGTGGCCAGCCCTCCACCGCCCCACGAGTGAGCAAGAGAGATCTGTTGCTAGCGTCCTCCCTGGGTTAGTGTGTGTGTGTGTGTGTGTGTGTGTGTGTGTGTGTGTGTGTGTGTGTTAGGGGAGGCGCGTAGACAGAGCAAGGAAATTGCCTTTTCTTTTGAGTTGGTCTCCTTTCATTGAAATAGCAACCCCTAACTGCAGGAAATCTCTGTGGGAAAGCAAAGCATTAAAACAGAAAACTTCCCAAATGCTCAATATTTGGGAATAAATTGGTAAAGCAAATCTGGGATAGTTAAGATTTTTAAAGTAGCGCATGTTCTAGTGTGCACGTTAACTCGGTAAAATTTGCTTTCTTATATATGAGGATTTGTTGCTTTTGATTCCTGTTTCCTCCAAATTACATAATGAATGTGCTGTAAGAACGTCAGTCAGAATTTTTTTTTTTAAATGCCGGTGGGAGGGTAAAGGGTGGGAAGGAAGGAATTTCAGCCTCTTATCCTCTTTCCCCTTTTGCAGCTTTTCCTCCTACGTGTTGGGTCAATGCCCTTAAACAGCTCATCTCAGGTGGTGTAGCACCCTTAGTTCAGGAATGGGGCTTTACAGTCCGGTTACCTAGCTGTGGGACTTTGGGCAATTTTCTTGGATCTTTTCAGTCTCTAATCATCTGTAAAATAAAAACAATACCACCAACTTCCAAGCTATTATGAAGAATAAGAGATTGCATTCTTGGGCTGGGAGTGTAGTTCAGGGATAAAGCATGTGCTTAATATGCATGAGGCCCTGGGTTCATTCCCCAGCACAGAAAATAAATAAGGTTGCATACTCAATTATTCAGCCTATTACTTAGCACATTGTTCTCATTTTTAGTCATTTTTACCACACCTGACTTCTCCCACTTCTCCCACTTCCGTTTCCCCACTTCCAACTTACCCTACATTCTGGGACTTCATAGTGAGATGTCAGTGACCAAAATGACCAAGCACACAGCATTGCATCTCCTTTTCTCAAATTCTGATTGAAATTAATCATTTAGGTGTTTTAAGTTTGTCCTTAATGCTAGAGAGCTCAGGGAGTATGTGTATAAAGGTTATGATTATAAAGCTAAGCGTATTGGTAGCTTTTCTGTGTGTGTGGAGGGGGTCATTGAACCTAGGGAAACTCTACCACTGAACTGCATCCCCATTCTCAGGCCTTTTTATTTTTATTTTTCAAGACAGGGTTTCATTACATTACCCAGGCTAGTCTTGAATTTGTGATCCTCCTGTCTCAGCTTCCAGAGTAGAGGTATTACAGACATATACCACCACACCTGGCTATTTGGTGGCTTTTTCGAAGACTTCCCTCTGCTAAAATGAGCAAACCAGCTGGGTGTGGTGGGGAGCACCTGTAATCCCAGTGGTTTGGGAGGCCACGGCAGGGGGATTGCAAGTTCAAAGCCAGCTTCTGCAATTTAGGGAGGCTCTAAGCAAGTCAGTGAGACCCTGTCTCAAAATTTAAAAAAAAGGCTGGGGATATGACTCAGTAGTTAAGTACCCCTGGGTTTAATCCCCAGTTCAAAGGAAACAAAACAAGAAAACAAAAACACCCTCACTCACAAAATGAGCAAACCTTGAGTCTTCACCATTAATCCCTGCACAATGTTGGCATCATTTTGTAGGAAATAGGGATGAGAAGCTCAAACATCTATGAATATTGCTAGTAAAAGATGGCAATACATGGGGCTGGGGATTTAGCTAAAATGGTAGAGTGCTTGCCTCACTTGCACAAAGCCCTGGGTTCAATCCCTAGTACCACAAAAAAAAAAAAAAAAAAAAAAAAAAGGTGAGAATCTAGACAAACACCCCAATTAAATAGCTTCCACACCAGTCTATTCAATTTTTTTTTTTTTTTTTTGTACCAGAGATTGAACTGAGGGGCACTCGACTACTGAGCCACATCCCCAGCCCTTTTTTGTATTTTATTTAGAGACAGGGTCTCACTGCATTGTTTAGCGCCTCGATTTTGCTGAGGCTGGCTTTGAACTCACAATCCTTCTGTCTCAGCCCCCGCCCCGAGTGGCTGGCTCAATTTTTATTTTTAAAAAGTGACAATCATTCATGTGCTCAAAAAGCTGTAAGAGGGGGCTGCGATGTGGCTCAAGTGGTAGCGTGCTCGCCTGGCATGCGGCGGCCCGGTTCGATCCTCAGCACCACATACAAACAAAGATGTTGTGTCTGCCGAAAACTAAAAAATAAATATTAAAATTCTCTCTCTCTCTCTAAAAAAAAAAAAAGCTGTAAGAGGGCTGGCGTTATGGCTCAGCGGTAGAACTTCACATGTGGGAGGTCCTGGGTTTGATCCTCAGGACCATATAAAAATAAATAAATAAATAAATAAAGTTATTGTATCCAATTATATCTAAAAAATAAATATTTTTTAAAAAGAAAGAAAAAAAGAAAAGACAAGTCCAGCTAAGACTCTTTCTCAAAACAAAAAAATAAATAAAATAAAATAGGCTGAGATATAGCTCAGTAGTAAAGCATAAACTTAGTATGCAAGAGGCCCCAGGCTCAGTCCCTAGCATGCAGAAAAAGAGAGAGGAAGAAATCTAAGAGTTGAAATTATGAAATAGAAAATAAATAAAACAAAAAATTGTTTAAAAATTACTAAAATTGATGAATCACTGCCAAAAGTGATAAAGAAAAATAAATTAGAATTGCAAATTATTGATATCAAGAATGAAAAGTGGGGACTAGGGATGTAGAGCAGTGGTAGAATGCTTGCCTAGCATGTGCAAAGCCCTGGGTTAGAGCCGTGGTACCCCCCCACACACACACACAGAATTGAAAAGGGGGACAGCTCTCAGATCCTATGATATGAAAAAGATAACAAAGATATTTGAGCAAAATATGCCAATAAATATGACAATGTAGATGAAATGGACAGATCCTCTAAAAATAGGTTATCAAAAACTGACATAAAGCCAGGAGTGGTGGTACACATTTGTAATCTCACTGATTTGGAGGACTGAGGCTGGAGGATTACAAGTTTAAGGCCAATCTGGGCAACTTAATGAAAACCTGTCTTAAAATAAAAAATAAAAAGGACTGGAAATGTGACTTAATGATAAGAATGGACCTGGGTTCAATCTCCAGTACCAAACAAGACCAAAAACTGACACAATAAGAAAATCTGAATAGTCCTATATCTGCTAAAGAAGTTAAAATTCACAATTAAAAACCTCTCCTCAAAGAAAACTCCTGCGGCAGGGTGGAGTGGTGCATGTCTGCAATCGAGTGACTCAGGAGGCTGAGGCAGGAGCATTGCAAGTTTGAAACCAGCCTCAACAAATTAGTGAGGCTGTAAGTAACTTAGTGAGACTTAGTAAGACTCTGTCCAAAATAAAAAAGGCTGGGGATGTGACTCAGTGGTTAAGTTCCCCTGGGTTCAATCCCTGGTATCAAAACCAAAATAAGCAAACGAACAAAAAGACCATGAAACTCCAGGCCTGGGTAGCTAATAAATTCTTCCAAATAATTAAAGAAGAAATATTACCAACTCATTTTATGAGGTAATACCTCTGACAAGAAACATTACAAGAAAAAAAAATGCATGTTGGTATTTCTCATAAACACAAAAGTAGTAAAAAATAATTAGAAAAGTAAATCCAGTGTTATAAAAAAAATGCAGTCTGCCCTAACAAAAGAAAAAACTCTGAGATGTCAAAAATTTAATTTCAAAGGCCAGAGGGTAGAAGAGGAAGAGATATTAGTTAATCAGTTAACAACTGCAAAAAAAAAAAAAAAAAAAAAAAACAATAAAAAGGCCAGTTATATTGAAACCATGACACCTACCATTGAGCTACTTCCCAGCCTTTTTAAAAAAAAATCTTGAGAGTCTCACTAAGTTAGTGAGGGCCTCACTAAGTTGTCCATGCTCCAACTTGTGATCCTCCTGCCTCAGTTTCCCAAGTAGCTTGGACTATTGGGGTGCACCACCAAATTTGGCCCTATTGTGTGTGTGGTTTTTTTTTTTTTTTTTTTAGTACTGGGGCACTTAACCACTGAGCCACATCCCCAGCCCTTTTTTGTATTTTATTTAGAGACAGGGTCTCACTGAATTGCTTAAGACCTCACTAAGTTGCTGAGGCTGGCTTTGAATTTGCAGTCCTCCTGCCTTAGCCTCCTGAGCCACTGGAATTACAGGCATGCGCCACCATGCCTGGCTGGCCCTATAATTTTTATTTAAGAATTCCTTGGGCTGGGCTAGGGCTCAGTGGTAGAGCACTTTCCTGGCATGTATGAGGCACTGGGTTTGATCCTCAGCACCACATAAAAATAAATAAATAAAGGGATTGTGTTCATTCTATAATGAAATATATATATATATATATATATATATATATATATATATATATATAAAAAGAAGTGACTTTTTAAAAAAATATATATACATTTTAAAAAAAGAGGGTACTCAGTTGGTAGAGTGCTTGCCTCACATGCACAAGGCCCTGGGTTCAATCCCCAGCACCACAAAAAATAAAAAAAGAATTTCCTGACTTAGGGCATTAGCACTACTCTCAGTTACCATCATTTTGGGCTTCTTGTCTCAACACATCATTTATGGATTATAGTATGCTCATAATCATGTATTCCTTTGAGTTTTTGTCATTCCCACTAAAGAGAGATCATTTTACTTTAACAGATGGCTGTATGCAAACATTTAAAACTTTTTGAGAGGTAACAGCATACCAAGAAGAGTACTAATTGTGACTGTCACAGGATGATACCAAGAGTATGGAGCATGCTCTTGCTATAGTTTGGATCTTGAAAATTTTCCAAAGGCCCATGTGTTAAATGTCATGAAGTGAACAGGACT